TTATAGTCGGGGGGACGTCCGGAGCAGCAGCAGCAGCAGTAGACAGTCAATTCCCACACAGACCAGCAGCCTTTTCGAGGTGAGTTACCTTCCAGTAGCGGTGGGTCTACGGCCACAATGCCGGCCCACCAGTAGGAGTTGTATGTAGATGTTTGTCTCTGTGATATTCATCTAGGGGTTACTACTACCTGTGCTATGTTTATGTGCTAATATGATATGATGCTATGTGTTAGTAGTGGTAGGGGAGATAGTCCCCAAGATATCCGGTCGATAGGGCCGAAGGGATAGTTATACCCAATCATGCTAGTTGGATTCTTATATTGTGATATGTGCTATGTGGTAGTAGTAGGGGGAGAGATAGTCTCCAGTATCCGGTCGAGAGGAACGAAAGGGAGGATAGCACCCAGATATGCTAGGCAGTATCTGGTCGAGAGGACCGAAGGGGAGGCCAGCACCCAGATATGCTTGGCAATACCCGATCAAGAGGACCGAAGGGGTAGGTTAGGCACCCAGATATGCCTGACAATATATGTGTGTTATGTGATTATTGTGGTATGTGGTACGGTGGGGGAACTCACTAAGCTTTGTGCTTACGTTTTTCAGTTGTTGTTTCAGGTACCCAAACACACCATAACACGTCATTTTGTATGATATATTTGTTATAATGTTCTTAAACTTCAACTCCTAACATGATTTACTTTTAATATTTTGGAAATTTCATTATTCTCTTTCTCATACATCATATCTTTTGCCGAACACCTACTAGCATATATATATATATATATATATATATATATATATATATATATATATATATATACTAGCAGTGCACCCGCGCAAAGCGGCGGGGCGTGTAAATTCTTTCAGTGATATGTTTCCTCTACAAAAATGTTATGTTACAAAAGAAAGTACACGTCGAAGACAAAATAATCAAACTATGATGTTATTTGGGAAATGAAGTCATTTTTTGTTCCTGGACGGTGGACTTTATAGTAGAGGAGGGAGCAAAGAGGTATATGCGATTGGAGGGATATTTGAATCAACATGCTAAATTTAAGGATATCTAAAAGGGTTCAAAATTTGAATGAATCCGAGATTTGAGGAAACCATATCAAATTGTTGAGAAATATAAGGAGATTTGATGATAAATATTTGAATTCAAAATATGGTTAAAATTTAATATTATTTTATTAATGATTACTTGTACTATCAGCTTCATCATTTGGACGTCTTAAAAAAATATTATTATTATAATCAATCTATTTTTAGAAATAGTTAGATTTCTTTTATAAGATAGTAAAGATATATATATATATATATATATATATATATATATATATATATATATATGTATATATATTGTAGTTGAAAATAAAAATTATGTAAGAGTAAAATCAATGTGTAATTTATTAAAATCTTAGAAGTAAATCAACTTTGAAGTTAAATTATAAGAACATTGGACAATTAGAATGTATTATATGATATAAAATGATGTAGTATAGTGAGTTTGAGTACCTAAGCTTATATACCCTTAAGGGTATATTCACTTTTCCCATATATATATATATATATATATATATATATATATATATATATATATATATATATATATATATATATATATATATATATATATATATATATATATATATAATGTGTGTGTGTGACTCAGTGTGTGTGTTTATATGTTGATGTTATGATGCTTCCATTTCTTATATTAAACATGTGATTGGTATACTAGTATATTCATCTAACTTGTGATCAATAATTATTTATCTTTCGATCTGTTTATATAACAAATTGTTATCGTTTTAAGGACAATAAAAAATAATAATAAATATAAAACATAATATTGTAGTTCACATGATGGTACTAGTACCATTTCCCATGTGCATGCATGAATCTCTCATTTAATGGTTTTGTAAGTTGTCATTTTCAAAAAAATGGCAAAGATGGCAATTTGTAGCACATAAACAACTATCCTTCCAATCTTATCTCTTCGAGCTAAGAGATGCTTATGGTTCAGTTTAATTTGGTTTCCACTAAAATTGAACCATATTGAAAGGTGTCTTGGCCCTAAAAAAACAATTGTACATCGGCTTTATAATGCCAAAATTATGAAAGCATGAAGAAGAAATTTGCTTAATTTCGCAGTATAAGAGCAAAAGAAAAAAAAAAGTTCAAAGATACATGTCTAACAACAAGGCTTATTAGAATGCAACAAATGTCGAAAAGACCTCAAATAATTAATTAGGTAAATAACTTACATATGTATATGTTACAAATAGAATGTCTTATAAGATACAACTTGGTTGATTTTGATTTTTTGTGAAATACCCTTTAAATTTGAGGATAGATCGCAATAAAATCCCATATAGAGAGGGAATAAACAACATTAAATAAACAGAATCTCCCAAAATCAATAATATTCATCGAAAATGTTATAACCGTAAAAAATTAATAAAACCATTAAGTTCATATTAATCAACATCAATACGATATGATCAATGTCAATGATACTAGAACCAAATATTTAGAATCTAATGAATCGACAATGTTAAAACTCATCAATTCTCTTACATCTCTAATTCCTAAAGTGCTCAATATCAAGAAATCCATAATCAAAACCTTACATGGAATACACATTGTAATAAGGATTAGGCTATAAATCTTAGTAAGACATGTCGTTACTTATCTACATCACCACAATAAGGGTACTTCCATGCCTTTATAGAATAATCCCTATTTGGCTCTTGTTGATGAGCCACACTTCGGGATCCTACTTTATTTCATCATTTGGTGGGCTCTCGAGTATATCTTAAAGTTACTCGTATGGGTCATGTTTATTATATACACATAGTTACTGAATTTATCATTGTCTTTTGCTCTTATAGTTGCATCGGATTTTTTGCATCATAGGGTATCACAAGGTAACAATGTAACTATGCTTCATGATCTTTATGTCTCATATACATCATCTCAAACCCTTTCGAGCTACTAGATGAGACTTAATATATCTTCGTTGTTGCATTTTATGTGGATAATCTCTTATGTCTTGAAGTAATAAGAAACATTAATTATCAACTAAATCCAACATTGAAACTAAATACCATGCCTTAGCTAATACCATTGAAGAGTTTATTTAGTTATGTTCACACTTATTTTGTATATGGGTTGTTAGAGTTCAATATATGGATCTAGTTGTAGTTTGATACTTACTTTAGATCACTATATAGCAAATATATAATTATGGTCACAACCATTTGGGATTTATAGTTATTCTACTTTGAGGTAAACTTCATGTGATGTAGTATAGAATTCATCAATGCACATAGACCAAATAAGCTCATATATATTAATAGTTACACATGAGTATAGTAACTTCGATAAATAAGTGTTATCTCCCTAATGAATAAACACATAATAGAATTGAGATTATTGATCTCATTAGAGAATGGTAACTATAACGTCCTCACATTTCGGTTAGAAGACAAGTGTACATATTTTGGATGATGATTCAACGTTATGAAGAGATAAAGAATGTCATGGAATTGGAAAATAATGGAACTAATGAGATGTTTAATATGAAAGTATTCTCTAAATATCATATTTGGATGCAAGTATTCAGGAGAGCCTTTTACCTAAACATGTGCATATTTATGTGGGTCTTAATGTAACTAGTTTATCTGGAAATATAAGGACCTATATTTTTCCATGGTGATGTACATTTTGTGTCATTGTTTGTTGACTTGCTTCCATTAGTCTAGATGTGATCCACGTGAACCGAAAAACGAAACAATCTACACTAGGTGTTGTTGACCATGTAGAAGTGCAAATGGATCGTGGTAGACCTGTCGACTAGCCTTCCAGAAAATTTCCAGGGAAGTATGTGCATTCTTAATGAGATAAGTGTGTGTATTTGAAGCTTGTAAGGTGAGTTTATAAAGCTTGACAAGGATTAACATGATAACATTCAACACTCTTTTCTTAGTTGTGATGAATTGAGGTTTATGGGACAAACTCAAATGTGAGTAATTGTGTTGCATGAAGAAACCATGTACATATTATGAAAGAATGAGCAATAATGTCATGATTTCTTGCAACAATTACATAAATGATGGTTCGATGATATAACTTTACAATGGTCAAGTCAAGAGCCACTAAATTGAGTTTGAATGAGTTATGTATCGTTAGTTTTGATTTGATGCAAGAACACGTATGTGAATGATAAATTACTAGTTTAACCTTTGACTTTAAGAAGTCAAATTTGAAGATTTGTGCTAAGAAATGAGAAGTGGCATTATGACGCTAATGAAATGAGAAGTTAGTCACAAAACTTAATGTGTCATTAAGAAGGAATGATGGATGGTAAAGATTGATAAATCAGTGATAAAGTGTTATCATTAGCGTTATGGGACATATAGTGAACAAGTGGTACGATTGAAAGCTTGATAAACCATTTACCCTAACGAATTGAAACAAGATACATACCAGAGTTTCAAAAGAGGTACAAAGCTAAAAGAATGAATTGGAATGAAGATAAGATGTTGAATGAGTATATTTGGTCTTATGCACATATTTGGAACTTAAAAAAAGGACAAGTTGAGAGTAAGCTTTGAGGTTAACCTAAGGGCTAGTACAGAAACACAAACACATTTTCCCATTTTAGGGTACTACATGTCGCAAATGATTGAACTTGTTTTCTAGCAAAGATTTATCTGTGAATGTATATTTGAAAAGCATCATTTGGAATGCATATACTTCAAGAGTCTAGTATGCTTTTATTATTATTATTATGCAGTATACATGAAGATTTGTTACAATGGATTATATGGATATAATTCATTTTGTTCCATTTTGGTAAACAGGAACATGGAAAAAAGAAAGAAAAGTTAACAATGTTGATCATAGCCTTTTTATTTTAACTGAAACAGATCCTGAGTACTTTTTTTTTTTTTTTTTTTTTTCCAAAAGTATGGCAAAAGGTAAAACTTAATATGGCGTAAGGAACCATGTAAACAGAAGTAGCGATTAGAGATATAAGACTTATAAGAGAGACAAATAATACGATGTTTTGCTAGTTGCTATTTACAAAACAAATTCTGTAGAAACCAAACAAACCATCGGATCAAATCACCACATCCACATATAACTGTAAAAAAGAAACAAACATGATTAAAAATAAATAACGATTTTTCCTTAAATCAATGTAACCGGCCTTTTGCGATGCGATGTTGATATGTTTTTTTTTTTTTTCAGATGAAAAGTTTACTGACCTTGAGATTGAGAGTCCGGGAGGGCGCCTGGAGAAACTTTTATTGCAGTTAAGAAATGATTCCAAATTCCAAAAGCTTTCCAGACAAAATGTACAAAATTCGGTTAATAGTTTGAAATGAAAAGCTTCTTGTTCATGACAAATCAAACGATCCTTGTCCTTCACTGATAGCATACACCAGTTGCTTGTACATAATTTCCTGTAGTAATCACTTGTTAGTTGCTACCAAAATTACAAAATTACAAAATTGCCCTCATTTAAATACAACCAACCTACTTTCATTTAATTGTTTATTTTTATTATACCTTGGTGGAATAAGCAGGAAGCTTCAAGTAATTAGCACATGTCATGACACTTGGCAAGTCATCATCTGCAGATTCCGACGCGCCACCCGCACTCGATGTCACATTACTGCTTGTTGAAGAGTGCTGAGCAACACACAAACAACATTTTATAACCATTTATTTTAAAATTATTAATTAATTATTATACAGAAAGTCAACAATACCTTTCTCACAATGGTCAACTTAGGATTCAAAATTGCAAAACCACCGGGAGGAAGCCGAGGTGCACCAGTGACAATTGACAAAATGCCCTTTGCTGTTCGGGAGTGAACTCTCCATTATCTCAAGCAACTAAACAGTTGTGAAAAAAAAACATAGTAAGTTTTTTTTTTAATGATAATGTGAATTATATGGAATTTTGACTTACGTTGACTATTGCAGGGCTCTTGGAAGTATATCCGTGATCGAATTTTATGTGGTCCACAAGTTTGTCAGCCTGCGGTTTTGTAAGAAAAATGAAGCAAAAAAAATATTTAATTACAACAACTGATAAAAAATATTTAACATATTTACCTCCCACAACTCTCGTTGGCCACAAAGTAAATGATCTAATTCATTTGGGGTGAATATTTGCAAAGCCGTAATGTCAAAGACCTGGTGAATGAGCAAAAAATACACATTAGTTGAAATTATTTAAATCAAAATTATGAAAAGATATGTCTCAGGAAAACAGGTTATGTGAAAGACATATCTATAAATATAACTGTAACGTATTGTTACCAATATGTAAGAAAAGAGAGCATATGAAAAATCATCAATTTTTTTAAAGAGAGCAACATCAACATGAAGTTAAAAATATAAAAAGAAATATGATGATTGAAACCAGCTCTGAATGCTTCCATTTGTCTGTGATACCTGTCTTGACAGTAGCAGCAACTACAAGGGAAATGTACTCTTCCAAATTGTCTATGCTGACCTGTCATTCCCAAAAAGAATCATATGAATTATGAATATACACAGCAGCCTTATTAAAAAAAAAAAAAATTGAAAGGTAAAAGGATGAGTAAATACATCTTCATTGCCAGGTCTCAAAATGTAATCAGGAAATCCAGGAAGTGTGAAGTCCAAACAAAGATCTTCAACAGGAGCACCTCGGAAATTTAAGTCAAGTATTGCATTGCAATCATGCCTAGGTGTTGACTCCAGGTATTTTTTCCGACAAACAATCGCTTGCAATTCTTGCAATGTCTTCCCAAGTTCAGCATCAAAAGAAGAAACATCATGTAAATCAAGCTCCTACAATGAAAAATTAAGAAAAGGCGCATAAGTCAATTCAGAACAGAAAAAAAGTGGAGTCAATAGTTCATTAACAATCAACTTACTTGTCCAAGAACAAGCTTGTAGAAAGCAGTAGAAAGAGGCATGTCCAAAAGCCTCCCATCTTGAAGAGCTTTCGCCATTACACAACCAAAAAGCCAGAAATGCTCAATCACTTTACCATCACAAGAAGATTCAACCCAAGGGCGTGGGAACAACCCAAGAGGTGAAATTACAATATCGCCCAAATCATCTTTCTTCTCTTCAACTTCAACTTCCATTGCCATACTCCCGTCACCCGAGTTATTACATCTCCACATCTTCAACCCCGTTCTTTGCAAA